ATAAAATAAGTAATGATATGTAAGATGAGTATGAATACAGTTGAAGTCCATGAAGAAAGAAATACCTGGGTCCAAGTTACTTTCCAAAAAGATCTTTTTTTATGTTTTGTGTGTTGTGTATATATGTTTTTTTTGGGGGGGGAGAATTAATGAAACCTTGCAGAAATATAGAATGAGAATAATGGTAATTAAGTCAGAAAGAAATAGATGAAATAATAATAATAAAATGGAATAAGAGTAAAGAGAAAGAAAGAGAAAATGGATAAGAGGTTTTTGTATGTTTATATGGAAATGGTTTAAAACAGAATTATAGTTTATCTGACTTGTTAAATTTATAATGGAAAAAGGTTTAAATATGTAATGGATAATGACGACTTGTGTGTTTTGAAAAAAATTAATAAAACTTGTTTAAAAAAAAATGTTTGAAAACATTGAAAATTCAGAATTTGAAGTTTCTGAAGAACACGGACTGGATTGTATGAAACACATACTCTATAACTTTAATCTCCTGAATTGTAAATGGATTAAGCAATCCATTTACAATTCAGGAGATTAAAGTTATAGAGATTAAAGAAGAATATAAGTTGCAAGTGTTTGCGGATGATATGATTTTTTTCATTGAGGAACCAATAGGACAAAAATTGATGAATGAATTAGAACAATTTGGAGCAGTAGCAGGACTTAAAATTAACAGGAAGAAAACAAAATTAATGCATAAAAATTTAACAGAAAAACAGAAAATAGAACTAGAAGAAGCACGTTGTAAGACACTTAAGGAAAATAATTATGATAAATTGATGCAACAGGTAAAGAAGGATTTAGAAACATGGGGCAAGCTACAACTTTCATTATTAGGCAGGATTGCTGCTATTAAAATGAATATTCTTCCAAAATTCCTATATATATTTCATATGATCCCAATCAAAGTACATAAATAAAATAAAATAACTGTAAAATTTATCTGGCAAGTGAAAAAACCTAAATAATTTTAAAGGCAATGCAGGATATGAAGAGCAGGGGAGGGCTGGCACTTCCAAATTGGGAGTTGTATTATAGTGCAGCCTCTTTAGTATGGTTGAAGGAATGGGTGAATTTAACCAATAAGAGAATATTATTCTTAGAAGGCTATGACTTGCAGGGGGAGTGGCATGCTTTTTTATGGGATGTAGGGAAAACTAGCCAGAAATATTTTCACAGACACCTAATCAGAGACTCATTATTAACTAATTGGAAGAAAATACGGAAAAAAAACACTATTTAAAAATACCAATTTGGATTTCAACAATGGAGGCGATGATTCACCCAAATAATCTGGATATCACTAAAATGATTAAATATAAGGACCTATTGGATACACAAGGAAATTTGAAATCGCGGCAAGAACTTCAAGATCAGGGACTAAAAATTGATCAGTGGGCATATCTTCATATTCAAAGTAGATATAAACAGGACAAGAAAGAATTTGGAATTAACAATAAACTCCAGCAATTAGATAAAATTTTATTAGGATCAGGCAAAAAAACAACAACAAAATTTTATAATTATTTATTAGAAGTAGAATTAGAAGAAGAAATTGTAAAAGGGAACATGATAGCCTGGAGTAGGAATATAGGATGTAGCATCACCATAACAGAATGGGAAAAGGTTTGGGGTAGAAATAATAAAATTACAAAATCGGTAGCATACAAAGAAAACGCCTATAAAATGTTTTATAGATGGCACCTTCCTCCTTTGAGATTAGCGAAGATGCACCCCAATATGAGTCCGAATTGCTGGAAATACAAAAAAAAAAGAGGGAACTTTTTTCCATGTGGTGGTCCTGTACAGAAGCTCAAAAATATTGGCAGAAAATTAGAAATTGGCTGGAAGAAATGACAAGAGAACAGATCAAATTCAAAGCCTTTCTGTTAGGGATCTTTGATAAACAAATATAAAAAAAGTGAAATATATAATAATATGCATTTTGACAGCGGCCAGATTGGCTTTTGCACAATGTTGGAAGCAGCCTCATGTTCCATCAGAGGAGATGATCATTCAAAAAATTTCAAGTTGTGCAGAAATGGACAAATTAACTTCAGCATTAAAAAATAAAGACACTTCAATATACTACAACAGCTGGAACTGCTGGTACAAGTGGATAGACCAAAGATAGACTTCACACTAAAAGGCAAAAGAGGATAGGATAAATCCATAGTAGTGATACAAATATATATGTAAGGATTAGGTTTGTGTGTATAGCATAAAATAAGGATAAAAAAGAGGTCTTACAAACTGTTGAAGATGAGAATGTTTTTAATTGTTTTCTATTTTTTTTCTTTCTATTTTCTTCTCCCTTCTTTTTCTCTCTTTCATTTATGTATGTTTTGGTTTGTTTTAATTGTAAAATCAATAAAATTTATTTTTTAAAAAAAGTTATAGAGATTAAAATTGGAAAGACACCAGACCCAAATGGACTGAATAGTTTTTCCTCAATTTACAACAGTTCATTTAATGATGGTTCAAAGTTACAGGACTGCAAAAGGTGACTTACAACCTTTTGCAGCATCCCCATTGGTCATGTGATCAAAATTCAGATACATGCCTGATATTTATGATGGCTAGTGTCTCAGGGTCATGTGTTCACCTTTTGTGACCTGTGAAAGTCAATATTGCAGAAGTAAACCTAGGCCTGGTTAGGAAAATTTGTAAGTTTTCGGGGAGGTAGTTAATATTATTCACATGGATTTCCTTAAAACTGGCATTACTGTCAACTCAGAATGTTGTATTATAACATTCAACAGTTTGAATTTGAAAACCAGTGGTGTTATTCTACTGGTTCAGCCCGGTTCTGGAGAGCTGGTAGCAGCGATGAGCAGCGGAGACTGAACTGGTTCTCTCTGCTGCTCTTTGTGGGGCCACCCACCCTCCCGGGCTCCCATACTCACTTTTATCCGCTGAAGTTGAAGCGTAGCTGCTTTGCACGGCACAGAATAGTGCTGCGCAGCAGCTGCTGAAGCGATTGGGATCGTGCAGGCTTGCAGGAGGTGAGTTAGAACGCCTCTGTGCCTGCACAAATGCCTCTGCACCTGCGCAAAGTGTGCATTCAGTGAGTGCGTGCACACAAAGTCTGCATGCACACAAAGCACACCCACAAAGCCACGCCCACTGAACCAGTGGCAACAATATTTTAATCCCACCACTGTTGGAAATAGAAAAGGAAATTTTGCTGCAGCATGGCAGTACTAAATCTCACTCCTCACCCAGGAGGCAATTGCAAATTTGATTTCACTGTTTAACCTTATCCACTATGCAGTCCAGTTTTGGGACCATGCAACTTCCACCTTCTTCCATAATTGAAGGTATACTTTCATGGACAAGTATGAGTATGGAGGAAGAAAGAACTTCAGACCTGGTTGAAGAAGCAGACTTTAAGCTTTAAGTAGTCTGTCCATCATTGGCCAAAGTATGTAGAAAGTAATGGTGATTATGTGTAGAGGTATATAGGAAATACAAATAAAATAGTTTATTTTAAGAATTATTTACCACTTTTTAATTATAATATCCATATATAAATTAAGGTTAGGGAGATGGAGGCATACTTTTCATTCAAAATATTAAAGGTACAAGAATATCTCAGCATGGGACCATTAGATGTTAATTTCTCTATTCTTCTGCACACAGTTCTACACAGCCTTTTAAAAAATTAATATTGGATTGTTCTCTGGTGGTCTTTGATGGAATGTTTTAAGTTTTTAAAGGCTCAAAATATTTTTGTCACTAATCTGAAATATTCATTTATTCAGTGCCATGCCTTCACATATACTCATATATATTCCATTCATTTATACATGACATTTCTACAATATATGCCACAACACATGCCTTTTCATATCCTTTCATGAAGTAATTCACATTCTCATATTTTACACTCATTCTTCTTACCATTTTCATTCATATGTATTAATGAATTCAACATTTAATGTTTATAGGACTCACCAGAAACTTATTTTTAGGTCTTTATAATTTTTCTCTAAATTACCTAAATGTAAAAGATGAAATATTACACTGGTACTTCAAAGGTGATTTTAGATTGGATCCACTATAAGCTTCCTCCAAATAAGCTTGTTTTATCCAGGAGTGTTGTCTGATGTGGGAGAAGTCCATTGCTATAATAAAGGGAGGAATTTATCTGTGCAATAATATCCTATGATCCATTCTTCAAAATGCTCTACAGCAGGGGTCCCCAACCGCCGGTCCGCGGACCGGTACCGGTCCGCGGAACAAGTCTTACCGAGCCGCTGGTTGCTGGGCATCGCCATCTTTTTTTGGTAAAAAAGTGCTTCCGGTGAGCTTTTCCGGGTAGAAAGCTCACCGGAAGCACTTTTTCATCAAAAAAAGATGGTGCCAGCGCTTCCGGTGAGCTTTTCCGGGTAGAAAGCCATTTCTACCCGAAAAAGCTCACCGGAAGCGCTGGCGCCGCCATCTTTTTCATCAAAAACAGATGGCGCCCAGTTGATGCCGGTACCGGGCCGCGGCGCCCAGCTGATGCCGGTACCGGGCCGCGGCGTCAAAAAGGTTGGGGATCACTGCTCTACAGGAACAAGATAGAAATATTTGGAGTTGCAAACTAAGGGAAAAAAGCTTTCTCCAATTTTGTGACCCTTGTTTAGAGCTAATCCTATTAGAGAAATCAAGACAGATCAAGCTACTATATTAAATATTTGGTATAATCTTGCACCATTAATTCATAGATCATACTAAATTTCAACTTAGTGATTGGTTTCTACCGTATATGACAAAAGATAACATCAATTAATTTATATCAGACAGCATAACAAAATTTCAGGCATTTAATACAACAATACAGAAATGTTTAATAATGTGATCTAAATTACAAATGAAATATATTTTAAGAGCTGTTGGGATAGTACCTTACAAATTTAATTAGTTGACACAGTTTAAATAAACTAGCAGAAATGTTAAATACTCCACCTAAGAACAGGTCTATTTATAGAAGGTGAAAGATTATCCATTCCATAGTTAAAAGAACTAGAATACTTTGGATGTTCACTGTGGTTGCAGTTTTATTATGAAGATGAAAATCTATCCATTTTCTGTAGCTAACTGTATGCGTATAGAGTCCTGGATACTCATCTGGATAACAGCCACTGGCAAAACTGGTGATGCCTATCAGATAGTATTTGGATACACTTGGGAAATAGCACATCAAAGGTCCACCACTATCTCCCTAGAATATGAAAAACATGGAAAAAGTAAAATGTTCATGTTATTCTGAAGTTCTGAAATACTATATAGGAATCTTCTGCTTGGTTCAGAAAGAGTGTAATTACACAGGCCTTCAGGTAACAAAAATATGTTTTTAAAAAATTCAATTCATTTAATTTCAAAAAATCAATATAATTTTGTTGGCATAGTACACACTTATCATAGATGAAAAAACTTATGAAAACTATGTTAAAAACTATGGGGCTGTGAAAAGGTGCTTAAGAAAAAAATATGTATAGAAAAATTAAAAACCCTATAAACACAAACACTTCAAAGAAACAAAAAAGTAGATAGAAAAATCCATGAAAATACAAAATTTTTATACTGTATGTCAGAAGTTCCTCTGCCATTGAATATTTTCAAACCTTTAATTTTATATGAATATAAAGGTTACTAATAAATTTTAAAATAGTGAATTGAACATTGACTATATGAAAGAAGAGCATTTGATCCCATCTGGGTTCAATACAAAGCCAATTCAAGGCTGAGAGTTGAGTCCTCGACTTAACAGCAGTTCATTTAATGACCATTCAGTTAAAGCGGCACTGAAAAAAGTGGCTCATGACTGTTTTTCACACTTTCAACCTTTGCAGCATCCCCATGGCCACATGATCAACCTTTAGATGCTTGCCAACTGACTCATTTAGAACAGTTGCAGTATCTGGCAAGCAAAGGGGGAAGTCAGATTCACTTAACTGTATTAGTAACTGCAGTGATTCACTTAACAAATGTGGCAAGAAAAGTCATTAAAATGGGGGCAAAATTCACTTAACAAATGTCTCACTTAGCACCAGAAATTTTGGACTCAATTGTGGTCATAACTTGAGGGCTACCTATAGTTAATTTAAAAGAAGTTATTTTAAGATGTTCCTTATTAAAAAAAAGTTCTTTAAAAATACATGAATTCACAATTTCTTTTATCAACTCATTATTCAATTTAAGGCACTGCTGAAATACCAAATGACACTATATATTATACACTTAAAACTTATAAAAATATTTTTAATTTACCACACAGCTATTTGTTGGCGAGGCAGCACAAATCATATCAGTTGATAATCTTTCTTTATACCGTTCATATTTATTACAGACATGTAGTGGAATAGTAATTACTCGAGCTTCCTGTAATACAGTGTGAATTTTGCCTGTTAAAAAAAAAAAATGTTCAGCATTCAAGTTTCCAAAAGAGCAGTAAAAAAAATTAACAAGTTATTATGGAAAAAGTGTTCAAAGACTTCAGTTTATCTCACTGAATGCTAAGCAATGTGCATGCATTACAAAAAGGTCAAAGGCTACTACCAGAGGGTAATGATCCCAATTTATATTTATTGTACTTCATTTTTCTTAATCATGTTTACTATTGTACAAACAGCATATATAGACACCCTTTGCTAAGGACAGAACTTGAAATATCAGATAGAGAACTCCAGTTCATAAGAACTAGTACCATTATAACACTGTTAATTCTTTAACTGCTACAGATACCCTGTTGCTAATTTTGTAGTAAGACAAGCCTTATGGAAAATATAGAACATTGGCGGTTTTAGACCCAGTGCTATTTTCTAAGCATAATGTCCCTAAGCCTTCAAATCATTAGATGACCAAAAAAGGCATTTTTCAACCATCCATTTTTTTCTGTAGAACCCCCCGCCTACATGCACTGTAATCAATAAAATAAATAAAACATAAAAGGATTAAAAAAATTATAAAAAGATCCAAGTAGTTTCTATATAATATTATTTCATCCTTAAATTTAACAACATATTTCAAATGTTATAAAAACATATGATAATCTCATTTTTAGAGAAATAAAAATTGGCTTCCAGGGAAGGAATGGTTGATTGAAGACACTTTTACAAATGCAGAGTTAATAACTGTGGCGAACAATGAAGAACTAGTGATTAGGTCTAGTCCTGTCTTCTCTGTGAAGAAGACAGGAATAGCCATCTTGCTTGCAACTGTGGTCAGCACCTTTTAAAGATACTATTAACCTCATTTTCTATTATCTTTCAAAACTTGCTTTTTAATTACTTTTAATCTATTAGAGACCTTTGGAATGATAAGTTTGAAAACATCAAGTGAGTTTGCTTCAACCCTGAATGAAAGAAAAATTTAATCGTAAGATTAAAAATTTAAAGAATTTGTAATAAACAGCAAAAACTGAAGACTGATCTCAGAAAGTTATAAATGAACAAGGGGGCAGATAAATTGGGAATATAGAAATATAAGATGATTTTGGAATGAATTATAAAAAACAAAGAACCCATGGGAAATTGATCTCTTTTAGTTTTGCAAGACATAATAAGTAATTTTATGTTTTTAAAAATTGGACACTAGAGGGAACTAAAGATTCTAGGCAGAGGGGGGGAACCTTTTGTGTCAATTAAAATGATGCAAAACATAACATTCAAAATATTAATGCAGACTTTTGAAGAATAGAACCAGAGTTTAATAGCCACAATATCAATAGTGTCAGTCATGGTGTCTGCCTCTATGGTTAGACTATGTTTAAAAAATGAAATTGAAGAAATGCAAAACGTATTTTATCTAACAAGTTAGAGATGATACTTAAAGTGGATTTACAAATGACATGCCAAAAGAATAACTTGGAAAAGGATTTCTCACTGGTTATAGAAAAGAAACTGATTATATTTTAAAGATCAAAAGGGAAATACAAATGATGAACCAAGAAAGTAAACTAAATATTTTTTCCTTACTGGATTTAAAAAACAAGTATATAAAAGACCTGAACAATTCTTTGTGATGAGATAAAAAAAGAATTGAAGAAAAAAAAATCTTAAAATGATTGAATGAAGATTAAGACTGTTAGAAGTAAAAGAAAGGAATATAATGTTGGTCAATTGTAATCTTAGTGGAGATGAACAATCACTAAATTGTTTACACCTGAGATGAAGTTTTGAAGTCTTCTGCTAAAGGATGGAAGGAAACTCACTTCAGTGTAGTAAAACTTCCCTTTCTTTAGGTTCTTAATATCTGAAAAACAGTTAATAAGCAACTTCCGAAAGCGATTAAGAAAGGAAATCCGGTGTCTTTTGAAAAAGTGCCAGCTTGGGCAAAGATGACAAACTCTCATCTCCCAGAACTTTAAACCTGCTGGAGATCATTGGCTGGTGGTCTCCTTGTGAGAAGCAATTGTCTGGAGCATATGTGGACATTCCAAAGTGCTCTCTTGATCAGAGAGGAAACCTGAACAGCCTATCCTTTCCATCTCTTTGTTCCATTGGAGTCATCAGTTCCGCTCACAGTGTAGTAAAGGTAAAGGTTCCCCTCGCACTTACATGCTAGTCCTTTCTGGCTCTAGGGGGCGGTGTTCATCTCCATTACAAACTCGAAGAGCCAGCACTGTCTAAAGACGTCTCCATAGTCATGTAGCCGCCATGACTAAATGCCAAAGGCGCACGGAACGCTGTTATCTCCCACCAAAGTGTTCCCTATTTTGCTACTTGCATTTTTACATGCTTTCAAACTGCTAGATTGGCAGAAGCTAGGACAAGTAACGGGAGCTCACTCCGTTACGCTCCTAGAGATTCGAACCACTGAACTGCCGACCTTTCTGATTGACAAGCTCAGCATCTTAGCTGCTGAGCCACCACGTCCCTTTCACTACTCTTCTCTTTACCTAGAAAACAGCAGATTGGGACGTGATAATTTCTTAGTGTTGATTATATCAGGAAACCAGAACAAAATAGTGAGGCTCGTGATCCCTGGGGTAACTTATTTAAAACAAATATGCCTGAAAAGTATGCAGGCACAAGAGCATCTCCAGAAGTTGTCACTAAATATTTAAAATAATGGAAATTATTAAATACACATGAATGTAGATTATATAAAAATTATTCATTCTCCTGGGTTTTCTTTCCTAGCCTAAAATTTTATACTCTGTAACATTTCATAGCCCTAATATGAAAGCACTCATATCAAATTGCTTGAATCATTGGCCAAAAAAAAAGTTGCTTCACATCTATAATATGAAATAATTCAGCAGATAATGAAATTTAATTTAGTTCAATAGGCTAAGGCTGAAAGTTATATTAATGCAGACAGACAAGGATGGAGGATGGAGATTCAGGGATCTTAATGTTAGCAGTAGGAGTAATTTGTTTTCTACAGGTCTCCTGTTCCCATATGCACCTCTGAACCAGCTTTAAAGACTAAGAATCAGCCCAATCCCTCCTCGTGATAGCATCACAGGCTTTCTTGTAGGCTGAAAGGAAGCCCAGCCCTGTTCTCCATAGTAAACTAAATTACTTAAAATGTGAGCTTTCTGAATTCATGAAACGTTATCCACAGAAAAATTAAGTAATTACCTTTTTTCTTTCTGTTTTCCCATCCACTTACATAACATGGATTCTTATCAGTCATGAGATGAGAATTGTGAGATAAGCAGATAGGCTGAATATATTTATTGTACTCAACAAACTTCACCAGTTTAAACATTGCAATGTCATTTTCATAGCTGTCCCACTTGAAATCAGAATGAACAATGATACTTCTCACCCGACGACTTATGGTGTGAGAATGAGGTTTATAAAGATGATGTAAACCAATCACAACTCTCCAATATTCTGGGTTCCTAGGATAATAAAAACCTTTGTAGAGTTAATGAGGCTCAGTGGCTGCTTTACATAATTTTAGAGTTATCAACCTTAAAATCTGTAGTACTGTATTTTTAGTTCAGTTCAAGAATTCTATGAAGTAAGAAAACTTGGAATTTTATCAAGGAGATCCCTTAAATAAAACCAGCAACACAAGTACTGTTCCCTGCCATTAGGACTTTGTTTTGTTTTTGTTTTAAATTTATTTATTCAACATTTTGACAATTAAAAACACATTTCCAAACTTTACAATGTTACTATAGCAGTGTTTACATTGTGAATATCTTCTATAACCATGTTATACATCTCTGTATTTGGACTTTGTTTTATTGTGACAATTATTCTTTGAAACTCTTTTAAGTATTCAATTTGACAACTGGAATACAGAAACATGAGATACAAATACCATACAATATTTTTTGTTCTGAACGATAAATCTCTATATATGTAACATTATAACATGAATACAGGAGATAATGACTTTTTCATCAAAAAAAGATGGCGGCGCCCAGCTGATGCCGGTACCGGGCCGCGGCATAAAAAAGGTTGGGGATCACTGCCCAAATGGATGTATTTAAGAAATTTAAAAGCAAATAACTGAGGACAATACAGTAATTCTCTTCCATTGTACCCCCCCCCCCCCATTTAAGGTATGATATTCACAACTAGCAAGATTACTAACTACTAATAGTTTTCTCCTCCATGAATTTATTCATTCATCTGCACTTTAAAATCATCTGAATTATTACTATACCACATCCGATTGCAGTGAATTCTATACTTTAATTATAAATTGTACGAAAAAGTTATTTTGATACTAAAAAACCCTGCATTTAATTTCAATGGAACAGCCCACTTGTTGCCCATTTTTCATACTGCATATGATTTCATATATAGCATATATCTATGCTTTAGCATAACTCCCTTTACCTGACGTTGCTCTAAGCCAAGAAATTCATCATTTATCCAAAGAAGCTACATTTTTGCATTTTTACTATTTGATAGAATGCTTTTTGAAGCATAACGAATAAAGCTATATACAGTATTCAAAGTGAAGATTCTCTGTAAATTTATATAAGGACAATATTATATTGATAGTTTAACTGGCAACAAACCTCAGACAATCACCAAGATTTATTTTACAGTAAAACACATATTGCATAGAAAGAAAGATGCCAATTTCTGTACTCATTTCCATCCAGAATCTGGACCAGCATGTTTTAAAAATCCCCAAATAGAAGAATTGACATTAGCCAAATAAAATATCACTATAAAACAGTAGATGAAAGAGTGCTATATAGCAGTGAAGTCAATGTGCTACTGGTAGTATGTTTTACAGAAAAAAAGTGCAAAAACCAAACCAAAACATGTTCTATTTTAAGCAACTCAAACGGAACACATCACTTCAACATTGGTCATTGACAACAACTGAGAAAAAAAATCTATCCTAGAGTTTTACAGCTTTCAATCAGAAATAAGACAGAAAACTACATTGTTTCTAAATGACTTATTGTATTTAAGTGCATTTCCAGCACAGTATATTTCTGTAGATATTGGGATGGGGGTGGAAATTTAGTGCCATTAAAAATTACAATAACAAATTGGTATAAAAAAATTAAGCACTGGTTAAGTGAGTTTGGCAGGAGATTTTTTAATTTCTAAACTTGATGTTCACTACTATAACAATAGGTTTTCCTGTAGAGCATAAATTTAAGTAGAGATCACAAATTAGGCTGTGGCTATCAGAAAGCCAACTGCATGCTAGTGAAGGAAAAAGATGATTCAGAAATAGAAACTGGACATTCTAGAAAATAAAGAAGCCAGTATAACAAGTATATTTCAGAGAAACAAAATATTTCAGAGAATTCTTAGAAAAGAAAATAGCCACCATTATGCACAGCTGCATAATTATGCAATCATCCATTCCAATTAGTGACTTTATAGTTGATGGTAGGAGCGATCTGTTCACTCTTCACTGAATACTTTATATCAATTTTTCCATTTTTTGTTAGAAATAAGGGTAGTTCAGACAAAAAAAATGATGTCCTAAAAACATAATTCAAGATAGGATGCTTTTTTCTACTTCTATATCTATTAGACACTTCTCTATCTGAAAAATCTCTCAAATTGTATATATTATTTGTAAAGTGTTTAAAAAGAAAGTAATTTAAAATGGACCCTCTCATCAATGCCATTTTAATGGCTGAAACTTTAAAATCCTCTTTTCAGTGGCTTATCAATTCTGAAATCAATGAGCAGTTGAGTCATGTGATTGAACTTTAAACTTTTCACAGACATATTTACATTATCTATTTCTAAATATAATTTAATCATTTGGTACATTTTAAAGCAGCAGAAGTAATATTGTCCTAGGAAATGTCTTCTTGGCTCCTCCGGTCTTGAAACAAAAAAGCAGTTTACCCAACAACAAAATGTACATTTTTTATTAAAGTGAGAAGGAAGAACTCACACAGAGACTTCCTGTTCCTAAGTGGGATTGTGTATACTTCATAGGATAAATATTCTGATTTTTTCTCCTTTTTACTACTGCTGATGTTTGTGTGGGCAAAGGTATATAATATTCTTTACAAAAAAATAAGGTTTCTTCTTTTGCTTTTGTGAAGGGTGATATCTAATATGGGTCTTAAGAGTGGTGTTAAACAATTTAGATTACCTTTAGACTGATGCATGATGGCAGGATGCATGCTACCTGTTTTTTCAACAGCCTCAGCTTTGTGATAGCCAAAAATGAATATGAATGACAATGAATTCTAAAGATCTGTTCATAACTGGGCACCTGGATCATCATCACATGACCATGAGGATACTGTGACTATCATAAATATGAGGACCAGTCATTGACTATCACTTACTCCGATCCTAAGTTGAAATGGTGCTGCACCAGTGGTCTTTAAGCAAGGACCACCTGTAGAACACAAGCGGATGATATTTTGGTAATGTTGATTAATAGCAATAGCACTTAGATCGCTTATCCCGCCTATACGGCTTGAACTGTTCCATAGTGCTTTACAGAACTCTCTGATTTGTTTATGTCAGCATATTGCCTGCAACAATCTGTATCCTCATTTTACTGACCACAGAAGGATAGAAGACTGAGTCAACCTTGAGCTGGTCAGGATGTACTCCAGGCGATGGCAGTTAGCCCGCATTTCTGAATTCTAACCATGGCTGGAACCTGTGAAAAGCTTTAGTGAATCTTGAAAGATATAATCTAGCAATGTAGAGCTCCAGCTTAGACTCCAAAGCCCCAGCAGATTTAAAGGCTGGGGACTGGCAGATGCTCTCCCACAAGCCTCTGATATTTGGTGGGAAGGAAGAGAAACAGTGCTGTAGGAATACACCAATCTCATTAACTCATACTACATAAAGACATCACAATTTGGTGGCATCCTACCTTTGGAAGGATAGCAATTAACAGCTATACCTAACAGAAATTTCATCCTAGTTTATGTTTCTGCCAAGTGACAAATGGGTGAACAGTATTTTAACTATCAAGGAAAAGAAATACAGGAATTCTTTAGCTGTTGCTCTCTCTTAAAATATTTTCTGCATACATTAAAAGCTGCTGTATCTAACAGAATAACAAAGTTGGAAGGAACCTTGGAGGTCTTCTAGTCCAACCCCCTGCTCAAACTGGAAACCCTATATCATCTAGTTTTATCTAGTTTTATTTTATAAAGTTTGATAAAAAGATTTGAACAAGTGTTGTTAAGGCTAGAGGTATACTAAAACATTTTTTCTGAATCTCTCCAATTCCAAAATCTGTCCAATTCCAAAATTCAATCATTTATTTAAAATCTTCAAACTGAACAGAAAAAGATTTAGAAATTAAAGATACATACACCCATTTCTTAATGCAACGTGCTACTGTCAGTACCGAGTTGTTATTAATTAAAGATCCACCACATATATGCCGATATCGACCTGATGGAATATGATAAATCTGAAGACTAACTTGCCATGGCCATGCTCCAGGCTGAACAACATGTCCACCTACAGTTTGAATCTCGGCTGTTATGTTAACTATTGCAGGCCTTGCTCCACATCCTAGAAATCAAAATGTAGTTATATTGTTAATTTTCAATTATTCTAAGACAGCTCAAAAATCAACACCAACATTCAACAATATACATAAAGTAATAACCAAAGAGCCTTTTAAAAATTTATCTGGGAAGGAAATATTTGCTGTTATTGGACCAGATACTGGAGATTAATAATTATGAAATACCACTAGCTTTCATTATTACAAGAGTTGTCCAACTTGAATTGAAGCAGCAGTGAACTCAACAGACAACTTGATTAATACTCACAAGTTCCTCATATGAGTATTTGAATTTATTTTTATTCCGCCCTTATATATTAGGTAGCAGGCAAAAGTTGTAACAGCCCTTTTATTTAGAATTGCTACCAACAACCCAACAAAGATCGTAGGGAACGAAACCCCCGCACTGTGAGAATACAGCTTTGCGCGGACATCCTCGCGGCGTAGTCACCGAGATCAAACGCCTGAGGCAATCCCCATTTTTGCCCTTATTTATGCAACCGTCGACGGGCCTTTCGCGAGCCAATGCCGCAGAAATGGCAGCAGGGAAGCCCGGAGGACGCCTCCTTTTCGGGAGCGTTCGCAACCTCCCCATCCGAGGAGACGACAACGACTCTTGCGCGTCCTCGGCGAAGGATTCCCGCGCGCTCCGGTGACGGTTCCCCCCCCCCCCCCCCATTAACTTCGATCTGTTAAGCTAGCCCGTCCTGAGCAACACGGTAGCGATCAACCGCCGAGCTCAATGCCCTGAGAAGATGGGCCAAGACCCAAGGCTCACTGTCTGAAAGATTCTGGGAGGACAGGGCTTTGGGCGCGACTTCCTTGAACAGCAGAAGCGAAGCCCAGAAGGAAAAGGCGGCGGGGCAAAAGTTGCGGCTCATCGTCCGTCCAAGGAGAAAAATGGCGCCCGACGTTCTCCCTCAGGCGAGTGGCGGCTAAGGGCCAGCTGACGGGGTGCAAGAGCCAAGGTTCTCCTCGCGGGGAGCCCCCCCGCTAAGGCGCTGTCCCGGCGCAAATCGAGGCACGGCCACCGAGAGGGAGAAGGTGGGGACTTTCTTTCCAAGCGGTCACTGAACCCACCCGACTGAAATAACCACTGGCTGAACCAGGGGACTCCGGGCTCTCCTCACCACCATATAACGGCCCCTTCGGCTATTCTCATGCTGATTGGCAGGCTCCACTTGCTTAGCTTCCAAAGTAATGGGGAACGCAGAGAAACCTTGTGGCGAGATGGGCGGCAAATTTAATAATAAATAAAACAAATGTAATAACTAAATAAAAAATAAAACAAACCTTAAACCATCGTTGAGAGCTGCCCATCGGTGTTGTTCGATTGACGGAAACATGCCACTTCATGATACAGCAACCAGTGACTTAAATTTGTCACAATATCTTAGGAGAGGGGCAGAAGAAAATATTGCCAGTGTATTTATAAGGAGAAAATATATTTGGGTCCTATATAAGAGGGGACTCATTCCGTTCCAGGTTTTTTCCCCCCAGCCCAAAGTATGTTATTTCCCAGCAAAGATGAGCTAAAGGGATCGAGTGCCATGCAAATCATGACCCTTTGGATGCGAAACAGATATTAGTTGCTTCAATGGTATGACAGACCAAAATGTTAAACCATATGTTGCCACGAAATTCTGGCACTCCGAGTTCGGTGTGAAGTTGATAAGAACTTGATCCCCGAATTTTAGAGAGAAACATTTACTATTGCACATGTGCTTCTTTGCTACCTAAAAATATACGAAACAGTAAGTAATTGAGACAAAGCAAAAAGCATTTATTGAGAGTCAAATGTTTATATAAGGTACAGGAAGAAACTATACAATGCATTTGATATTTCAGAAAGCAATCAGTCAAACAATGAAAGACATTGATTACGTGTGACACTTGAACAATAAAAACATTGATTCTAGATTACATTCCACAAGTGGCAAATTTATCGATTGCATTATGAATTCCTTTCTCCAAGTGTACTTTGCTAAAACTTGTGTGTTCAAGGACTTTGAAAATACAATATTGTTTATTGCTGAAAAGACAAGTTCTATACCTAGACCAAAAGAAACAGTCTTGACTAAGAAGAAAAAGAACATGTTTTTCTAAAGTTAGAAAAGAGGCCAAGACTGCAATGTTAAAAATCTTAATATCACCTTTTAAAATGTTGATAATGAACCCTTAAAGTTCCAGGTAACAAATGGAAGACTAAGATTTGTGATTTGAAATTGCTCTGACAGGCTATTAATGGTGAGTAGTCTCTTCTAATGGAGGATTCCTGTACATCAGGTCCTGCAGGGACTCAAGTTGTTTTTAGATCACATTGAGCTAGGCTCTGATAAAAGCCATATTTTTACATATAACTGACTGTAATGAGCTATTGATGCTAAACATAGATAAATGGGTTGGACTATGCAGTTTGAAAACATGCAAATTCAAGTAGATAAATAGGATCACTTCACTGGGAAGGTAACAATGGTACAACACTGACTTCCTTGGCTAGGAAACTGAGATGAGCACTGCCTCCTAGAATCAGATACCTTTACCTTTTATGCACAAAATTACGCAATATTCAAGGCACTTGAAGCAAAGCACGGCATATTTGTGCTGTATTGAAGTGCATTTGGGGAAAAGACTGGGGAAATACATTCATTAAGCCAAGCTACTGTCACTTGGCTTTTCAAGGCCTTTCATTTACTTCAAGGTTGATCAATTCATTCCTATTTTACCACACACTTCTGAAATGCCTCATTCTACTGCATTCAACTTGTTTCTCTTGATAGGTTTAATTCATATAACAAAATGAACAGAAACTTGCTCTTAACCATAGCTACTTTCAATTATAATATCTTTTTGGATTACCTACAAGAGTTAGGTAAATGATTGTTTTACTAGGTTTCGTTAATATTAACAGGAAAAGAATGCTTGGGCCTATGGCCACTCCAATTTTACCCCAAGCATGCTCATATTATTCTTTGTAAGTTAGTAGAGGTCCAAAACCTTTTACCCATATCCCACCAGCTAGAAGGCACATAACATGCAATATATTGACAAAGTCAAAAATGTGCCTTAAAACATGATAGAGAAGTGTGACTGAAATATTTTCATTCTGTCACTTTGAATTATTAGTTTTTCACTCTAGTTTATCCCAGTGGTGGGATTCAAGTTTTTTTACTACTGGTTCTGTGGGCGTGGCTTGGTGAGCATGGCAGTGGAAGGATACTGTAAAATCTCCAGTCAAAAGTGGTATTTGCCGGTTCTCTGAACTACTCAAAATTTCTGCTACCGGTTCTCCAGAACTTGTCAGAACCAGCTGAATACCACCTCTGGTTTACCCCTTTTACTCATTTGTTTAGCCTATACATTCATGCTTCTTCTATATGTGATCTTGAGAACAAAATCCCATATTGGATTGAAAGTATCAAGTGTTATATCAGCTTAAGATCACAACCCTGCATCAACATACTTGGAATACATTTAAGAAAGCTGTCTTCTTGTCTCCCATGATAATTTCTCTAGTATGTGACTTCCAAGTACCATTTCAATTATTTGGAGAATTGTTGATGATTCCACATATCAGCAAATTTGTTTTTTATTATTTTGCATATTTACAAAAAAAATAAATTGTTGTGCTAAAGAAGACCATGTTTATTTAAGGCTTTAGGTTGAACCCATTTATCAATTTGTACATATTATGTATATTTCAAATTTTTAAACCACCCATCTGCCTCAAAGAGGAGGTCTTTGTATATAGAACATTTATATTTTATTGCATATATTTGAATCATATTTATACAGTTGCTAGAAGGAAATATAGAAAATTTACCTTGCAGAATAAACAGACACAACAGTTGTTATTGAACACACTTTTTCATATTTCAGATCCAACGCTAAAATTATGTATTTGTGGAAAATTCATGTCTAAAAATATTAAGTTTTACATCTTCATGATTTTTTCCAAAGAAATACTCTAGAGTATAAGAAATACAATGGATTATCCAAATAACTTCAAAATATTTTATTTGAAAATACTCTTATCTAGTATCTTTTAAAAACTGTAATTTATCCTTCAAAGTGAAAAATATGAATATAGGTAGATTTGTGTGAAATTCTCTAATCATGTATACGAATGCTCTGTTTATTATTTATTTATTTATTTAAAAACTGGTTTAATTTTCTTATTTAATGTGTTTGGAAAGGTATTGTTATCATTAAACTTATAGATCATTATTTGAATGTAAATAGAATTAAATTGTATGGGCATTTTTAAAAATCAAATGTTGATAATGATACTGTTCCCACAAACCAAAAACATTTAAAAAGCAATACAAAGTTACTGCATACAGTAGAAGGAAACTGCCATTTTACAGAATATGGAAGACTGTCCACCACACAATTAAAAACATCAAGAGGCAATGAAGTTCCAGTGTTATAATTTTACTCTTTAAATACTTGTTTATCCAATTTAGATAATTAATTGTCCTAACATAAACTCCTGGATATCTTGGACGACCACAACCATAGCCAAAGCTGGTAATTCCTATCAAATAAAACTTTGTAGTGGTTGGAAGGTAGCATGTCAGAGGACCACCACTGTCTCCCTGGAACAGGAAAAGCACATAATGTGTTTTAATATATATATTTTATTTGTAGGAAGCAACAGATTATCAATTGTCAAAAGAAAATACTGTTTTCTAGGAAAAATAAATCTGGAAAATCTGAACAATCTTAATCTACACTGCTCAAAAAAATAAAGGGAACATTTAAACAACACAATGTAACTCCAAATCAATCACACTTCTGTGAAATCAAACTGTCTACTTGGGTAGCAACACTGATTGACAATCAATTTCACATGCTGTTGTGCAAATGGAATAGACAACAGGTGGAAAGCATAGGCAGTTAGCAAGACATCCCCAATAAAGTAATGGTTCTGCAGGTGGTGACCACAGACCACTTCTCAGTTCCTGTTTTCTGGCTGATGGTTTGGTCACTTTTGAATGCTGGCGGTGCTGTCACTCTAGTGCAGGGGTGTCAAACTCGATTTCATTGAGGGCCACAACAAGGTTGTGTTTGTCTTCGGGGGTGTGTGGCCAGCTCAATATCACTCGTGTTGGGGGTACCTGTGGTGGGCCGAGACTGCCACCGAAAATGGGCTCCCGAGCACCATTTTCGGCTGCGGTGGCTTCCTGCTACCCTCTGCCAGCAAAAACACAGCTCAGGAATCTATTTTCACTGGCAGAGGCATCTCGGGCTGGTCCTTTGCTGTTTCCAAGGCAAACCCATGGGCCAGATCGAAGCACCCTGCGAGCTGGATCTGGCCCCCGGGCCTCGAATTTGACACCCCTGCTCTAGTGGTAGCATGAGACAGAGTCTACAACCCACACAAGTGGCTCAGGTAGTGCAGCTCATCCAGGATGGCACATCAATGCGAGCTGTGGCAAGAAGTTTTGCTGTATCTGTCAGCATAGCGTTCAGAGCATGGAGGCGCTACCAGGAGACAGGCCAGTACATCAGGAGACGTGGAGGAGGCCATAGGAGGGCAACAACCCAGCATCAGGACCGCTACCTCCGCCTTTATGCAAGGAGGGATAGGAGGAGCACTGCCAGAGTCCTGCAAAATGATCTCCAGCAGGCTACAAATGTGCATGTGGCTGCTCAAATGGTCAGAAACAGACTCCATGAGGGTGGTATGAGGGCCCGACATCCACAGATGGTGGTTGTGCTTACAGCCCAACACCGTGCAGGACATTTGGCATTTGCCAGAGAACACCAAGATTGGCAAATTCGCCACTGGCGCCCTGTGCTCTTCACAGATGAAAGCAGGTTCACACTGAGCACATGTGACAGACGTGACAGGGTCTGGAGATGCCGTGGAGAACGT